CTGGACCACTATGATCTACATTATTGATTTACATAATTCGTATTATGCTACTAAATAAATAAATACTAATAAATAAACATACTAAATATAACAAAATATACTAAATAACTATACTAATAAAACAAATACAAATAAGAAATCATGAAAGTGGAGGAAACCCATGGTAACAACATCAAACTAATAGTGATATATTTATTTCCATCCAAGTATTCAGTTACTTCAGCAAAATCTTCTAAAATTATAATTAATTCATTAATTGCTTGCCATTCCTCTTCTGTTAAATTTATGCTTTTTAATCTTCTGCCATCATACCTTGTTGAAAGATTTGAATCAATCATTATAGTAGTTGCCATAATTTCAACAAGAACTTTAATTTTAATTAAACGTTTTCATGCAAGATAACTAAATTCCATCTTGTCTCTACATCTGAAATTAATTCAAATATTCATGAATATTTTTCAAATTCTATATTTTATTAAATAATAATAAAAATATCAATAAAGTTGTTTAACCAAGTTTACAATTTAAAAATTTATAAATTATTTAATAATTACCTCATTATTGATATGACTATTATTTTTTTGTATTTTTATTAATTTTTTTATTTGTTTAGGTGTAGTAAAAAAATTAATTAGACGTTTAGCTCTTGTAATTAAAACTTCAACTGGTAGTAATTCTTTTTCTATAACTAATTGAAGTATATGTATACTGCAAGGAAGTTGTGTAAGTTCAGTTATCAATGCTCTTACTTTGACTATATTTGATCCATTATCTGTTGTTAATGTAAAAACTTTTCTAGTTAAATTTCAATCTGAGATAATTTCAGTTAATACATTATAAATATTATATCCAGTATGGGATATACCTGCCACCCAAATTCAAAATCCAAATGCTGAAATCTCAAATGCCAAAATTCCAAATCCCAAATCCCAAATTATGATTAGTATTTTTTGCCGAAATCCCAAATCCCAAATACTAATAATTTGGGATTTTGACATCCCAAATCCCAAATGATTTGGGATTTGGGCAACACGTATACTCATGACTACGTAGTATTGATTCTGATTTATTTTAAATAAAGCTTATGACTACATAGGTTAGCTTGAGGTTACTTTAAAATAAAGCTCAAGACTACATATATTAAATTCAAAGTTACCTTAAATAAAACTCAAAATTTAAAAAATAGACTCGAATATATATACGTTCAAAAAAATAAGCTTGAATATATATGCGTTTGAAAAAATAAGTTCGAATATATATGCATTTGAAAAAATAAGCTCAAATATATATGCATTTGAAAAAAAGGATTAAAAAAATAAAAAAAATATTTAACAGCATATATATTCGAGTTTAAAAAAATAGACTCGAATATATATGCGTTCAAAAAAAAAAATAAACTCAAATATATATGCACTCAAAAAAATAAGCTCGAATATATATGCGTTCGAAAAAAAATAAGCTCAAATATATATGTACATATATATTTGAACTTATTTTTATTTATTTTTTTTTTTTGAAAAAGAAGATTAATGCATATATATTAGAGTTTAAAACGTATATATATTTGAGTTTATTTTAAACTTGAATATATAATTTTTTTTCCCTCAAATAATTTTTCATGTCCCAAATATTTGAGGGGCCAAAAATAATTTGAGATGTCAAAAATAATTTAGGATACCAAAAATAATTTGGGATTTGAGATATTTTGATCCTCGGATCTTAAATAATTTTAACATATTTTGGTAATCATAATGCCATATTAATTTGGGATTTGGGTGACATATATACTTTTGCTATTGTTATATACGAAAACTTCTTAAATCCTAATTTATCTGATATAATTGGTAAAGAAAGAATAATAAAATCATTATTGCCTATTTTTGAAGAACAATTAAAAAATAACAATCTTCATCGAGAAGATAATCTTTCAACTGAAGGTGAAGTTGAAGACGAAGAAGATTACCCTTTCACAATTGATGATGAATAAATTTATGAAATAATAATTATATTTTTATAATTTTTATAATTTTTTATATAAATATTTTATAAAAGTAATACAAATATATTTGAAATTATTAAAGTAATATTAAAAATGTATACATAAATTTTTGATACACATGACTTATTTTTGATAATTAAGAATAAAATTAAAAATTAATATAGAAAACAAGATAAAATTAATATAAAGAACAAAGATAAAATTATTTATAAATATAATGATAGTCACAACTAAAGCTCCTCATAGGCCTTAAGGTTCGCGAGCCTAGTGAGCCAAGCTGAGCCTAATATTATAGGCTCATAGGCTCGCGAGCCAAGCTCAACTAAGGTCTGACTCATAAGGCTCGAGCCTTAAAATTTTTGGGGCTTTAAATAAAAGCTCACATAATTTTTTTAAAAAAAAAATTATCTATTGCTATTAAATAACAACGGAAAAAATCAAATTAAAAAAGTGATCTATCACTATTTAAAGTAACGGATCGCTAAAAAAAAATTAAAATTTTGTGGCTTTATTTAAAAGTCACGAAATTATTTTTTTTAAAAAAAAAGTGATCTGTCACTATTTAAAGTAACAGATTGTTAAAAAAAATTAAAATTTTGTGACTTTATTTAAAAGCTACAAAATTATTTTTTTTTTAAAAAAAAAGTGATCTGTCACTATTTAAAGTGACGGATCACTAAAAAAAATAAAAAAAAACGATCCGTCATTATTTATCGCTCTTTGTAAAATTATGCGGTCATGTGATAAAACGATCTACTAATAAAATGCTGAAAACTAGTGATTATAAAATACGTGTCATATGAAAAAATTTATATTATATATTAATAACTAAATTAAAATACATGAAATAATAGACGAGTATTTAGAGTAATTATTTGTTATATTTTGGATTTTTTTTTGAAAACTTTCTTATAGTAACTTTTTGTTGATTAAAAAATAAGGTAAAAACGATTACTTATAAATTACCTCCGATTACCAAACATTATTGAAGTTGTTTTTTAATTTTATTAGCAAAAAATAGTTATTTATATTGTCTTT